CGCTATCCGCCATCCGCTATCCGCTAACCGCCACCCGCTATCCGCTAACCGCCACCCGCTACCCGCTACAGCTATCCGCTATCCGTTACCTGCTACCCGCTATCCGCTGAATTTTAACCGTTATACCAAACAGGCCCTAAAATTAAAAAACTTTAATCCGTTAGCGGTTCCGTACAAAAAGCTACATAAACTAGTTTTTTCAATCCGCTAACAATTTGGACTCTAACCGCTATCCGCTAGTCTCAAACCGTTAAATAAAAATTTTACCAAACATTTTATTTATAGCGATTTCGAAATATATAAATTTACCAAACACCTATATTTAGCGGTTTAGGTAAAACCACTAACCGCTACTTCAAAACCGCTATACCAAACGGGGTCTAGATTTGAAAAAACTCCACCTTGAGGAATAGGGCAAAAGTCTACTTTTAACCCCTCATCTTGTCATGTTTGAAAGTTTTAGTTCCTCACCTTATATTATAACATTTTTAGTCTTTCACCTTACTAGATTTGTAGGTTTTAGCTCCTCAACTTATACTATGACACTTTTAGCCCCTCACCTATTAAAATTGAAGAAAATAACCCTCACTTTGTAATATTTTATTAATTCCGTTAGCTGACTGTTAATTTTATTAACTGACTGTTAATTCTGTTAGCTGACTGTTAATTTTATTAACTGATTGTTAATTCTGTTAACTGACTGTTAGTTGTCAAAAACTTTTTTTCAACTAACAGAATTAACAGAAGTAACTTTATAATATTTTGTTAATTTTATTAATTGGCTATTAATTTACTGTTAGTTGATAAAAATCTACTTTTAGTTAACAGTCAGTATAAAGTGAGGGCTATTTTTTTCAATTTTAATAAGTGAGGGGCTAAAACCTACAAATCTAGTAAAATAAGGGGTTAAAAGTGTCATAATATAAGATAAGGGACTAAAACCTTCAAACTTGATAAGGTAAGGGGCTAAATGTAGGTTTTTACCGAGGAATAGAAAGAGATTATAAGAAATTATAATAGGTAATTTGAATTATTGAAAGTGAATAACATATTGTAAACAATTTCTTTTACACTAAAAGTTGGAGGAGGCCTTTAAAATTTAAATCTAATACAAAAGTTGTGCTGAACCATTATATTGTGTTTGAGCTTTTTCTTTGGCTTATAATTTTTCACAAAGTTTGTCCTCTTGGAATTATTTGTGATTGTTTGTATTCATCTATTTGGTTTTGAAAAATTATATAAGATTTTGAAAACCCAATTCACCTCCTCTTGGTTGCAATCATAGGGGATATAACAGCTATAAAAAGTTTGTGCCCTAGGAATGGGCACTTCCCCCTTTCTCATTGGAAAATTAGTGCATTTTTCATCTCAAAATAATTGTAGTTTTCTACCCAAATTTTGTTCTAAATTATTTCCCATTATAATTTCATTGAATTTTTTTCTCTACAAAAGGATTTAATTCTCAATCTTATCACAAAACCTTCTTCTCATCCTTATATCTTTTAAAGGTAATATAGGTAAAAGTAATGTATAAGGCTTCATATGATAGTAGTTTTTATTAAAAATTAAAATTTTAAAGTTCCATTTAATATGATTGTAGTTTTGAGTTTATAGTTTAGTTTTTTATAATTTTACAACTAATTAAAACCAAAATTAAAAATTAGTTTAGAATAAAATTTAACACTAACAACAAAAAATATATACTTATTTAACAGTATTAAAACTACTTTGTTTTATTTATCTAATAATCATAATAATAATATTATATGTAAAAACACATGAAAAAAATTAAGGTTTTTTTTTGTTTAAAGTTATAAAATTTATAAAAATTAAAACTAAAAACTTAAAACCACATTCATATTAAATGAGTCTAATGTATTAAATATAAACTTGTATAATTAATAATGAAAACTGGAAAACTTAATTAATTTATACATATTTTTAATTTTATTCAATTGATACTAAATTTTTTAAAAATCAAAATTAAATACTAGAAATCACAAACAACAATCATATAAACAAAACATAAAAATTGTTTGAAAATTTTTAATCCTCGAAAGAAGTTAATTATTTTGAAAGGCCGAAGAAAAACACTCAGATCTACAATAGCCCAAAATTCCATGGGCCTCAGCCCAACCGAATAGCCACTTTTTCACTATGTTTCTGCTTACACAGTTCTGCCACTCTCGCAATTCCGACGCTAATTTTCAGCCTCACGTATCAAATGCATCGTCTCCGCAACTCCGGTAACCTTTCCGTTGTACCCTGAAAATCTTTGATTTCGCGATGAATTTTAGATTTGGCATGGTTTTTATGGCACCCAGTTTGCTGTTATCTTCCCGCGTTTTTCTATTATGAGTTCTAGAGACTCTGGGTGTCATTTGCTCTAGCGAAATCAATACTGTTCAGTCTCAATGTGTTGTTGCCCACCAACTGTTTGATGAAATTCTTCTAAAAGTGGGATTTATGAAAATGTTTCCGAGATTAAATGTTACGGAATTAATCAGCTGTTTTGTTCTTGATGTTACTTTCAAGTAAAGGAAATAATCAAGTAGGCTGATTAAATGTTTAATTCTAGCTTCTAGGCAAGTACTAGCAAGATCCTTAGATGGGAATTTGAGTAGAAGGGGATTCACTTTAGTTGATAGTTTTTTACATAATCATGTCTTTCTAGCTCTCGCTTTTGTTAATTTTTGCATTTGTGGTTTACCTGCAGCGGACTTATTTATCTCTTCACACAACAATAAAAGGTCAGTTTTTTTTTTTTTTTTTTTATGGCTGCTTGATGTGAGGTAAAGCTTGCACTTCAATTCTTTTTTTCTTTTTTTCCCAAGGATTTTTTTACACTTACAGTGCCTATCAATTTTCATAGGCGATAGATAGCAGTGATCTTTGTCCTGGACAACATGTTTGAGGTTAGGCAAACATCACTTCTATTTCGAAGATGGGTGCACACTTTGTCCCATGACGGTCCTACAGAAACCTTGAAGAGAAAGGTTGCTGAATTGGAGAAGATAAGGAAAAGGAGGAAACCTAAAAAGAATCAGTTGTTTGTGGAGGTTCCAGAGTCAATCTCGTTCCTTGACACAGCCACACTGCCAATGGTCCTTGCTGTTGCTGGAATTGCACTCTTTGCAAAGCTCCTTATGATGGTATTTTATTTCCCTCTTATTAAAAGTCACCTCCCCCACCCTTGGACCACATCAGGGATTGTTCATTGGTTTAATCCTCTCCTTCTAGTCAAAGAGAAATGCTCCGTGTGTCCTATAGACCAACAGTTGCATATTTTGACCCTTACGTTATTTATGTTCAATAGAATTTAGCATATCAATAATACATCTCTTTATTCATTTTTTATGCAAGGAACAGATATTTGTAGGATCCAACGCACTGATTTCTGATTCTTTTTTATGCTGTTAGCACTTTAATCGTGAAAGGCTATTGTTAGTACATATTCAGGGGCTGTATTAACTCCATTTATGGATGTTATATTGTCATTCATGCTATTCCCTAGGGGTTCATTTGTTTGGGAGTAGTGTCTATTCCTTAGTCAAACTATGAAGGTAAGATATGATTTCTACTAAATTAAGAGATGATTAAGGAATATGTATTCCCACCTTCCCCCAGTGAATAGGTATTCCTTAATTATCTCTTAATGTATTCGAAATTATAACTATTAAGGAATTCCTATTCCTAACTTCCTAAATGGCTTATCAATTTTACCTTATTTTCATAGTTTAACCAAGGAATAGTTCGTACTCCAGACCAAATATAACCAAGAAGATTTCTAGAGGATCCATCGGCATTCAGGCTGTAGATTTTAAGAACTAAATCAAATAACATGGTGGCAAGAAATATAGAAGGCACATTTTTTTTTTTAATATATTTTTTTCAATGTACATTTTATCTTCAGTGTAGTTATGTTTTTAGCCTTTTCCATTTTCCTAATGAAAAGGGAAACCCTCATAAAATGAACTTAATGCACCAGTAGACATTAAATTGTCTGTTTACTAGGTTTTATATTTTTTTTTCCTGTCCCTAAGATGTGTAGTTTATTGGCTTAATCTTATAACTACTACTCTATGAGGAGGTTTATCTGATTAATTTTCTTGCATTGGCAGCATGATGAGTCAAAATCCCAGGAAATGATTGAACGAAAGATTAAAAATGCTCCTCCTGGTCAAGGCACTGTCAGGATGCTTACTCATGAGGAGTGGGAGGAATTTCGAGAAGTGAGACCAAGGACTCCTTTTGAATCCAAGCTTGCACGTCCTAGCGCACGAATAAGAACAGGTGAATCAGTACATATGGTGAGTTACATACTTCTTGCTCCTTAGTCCTTGATCGTGTTTGATTCATGAAACTGTGAATGTGTCATCCCAATGTTCTCTTAGTCTTATAGATGGTAACATCAAATGCCACAAGCATTGGTGATAGACTTAGAAACCAAGTGTCTCCACAATGTTCTGCATAGCAGTTGTGGTCTAAATTAGGACTACTAGAAAATAAATCAGGTTCTGTAAAAAAATAAAGATTTGTAACTATATATTATGTTGTTATTGTATAAATCTTTTATGTCCATCTCATATTCTTAGTTTTACAACAGTTTGCTATTCCTCTACATTCATCTCACTCTTCGTGCCTAATATGACTTTTAACTAGGTTGGTGGTTGCAAATTTGTGACTGAAAAGTAACACTTGGAAAGTATTCATTCTTAACAAGAGAAATTGAATAATATCAACTATCAAGCATGCTGGTAGAGATTCTTACCTCAGGAAGGTGTTGTAGATGACTACACATGCTACAATTTGTCTTGGAGATTGTCATTTTTGTTAAATACGTTATTAGAATTTATTAGCTCACATCACTTCACTTCTTAGGGCTCATTGATAATGTAATCATTTTCTTTCATGAAAATGGGATGGTGGTGCAGGTATCCATAAACCATTATATTTCCACGACAGTGTTTAACATGTTAAGATTATTTTATATCAGCAGCGTTCTATTATTAGTCCAAATATATATTAAGAAAAAAAAAAAAAAACTGATAAAATTATGCTTTGCCATCTCATATGGAAAAGTTTCAAGTGCTTGTTGCATCTTGAGAAAGTAGTTGATTGCCTAGTAAGATTGCAACACAATGGCTAAATTGCTCATATTTGCTCTTTTTTTCTTCTCTCCAGGAGGACTTGAAGAACTGGACAATTGATGTTCTCACAGACGCACTTACACGGGCTGAAGAGAGTGTTAAACACGGTTCAAAGTGAGTTCAGTCTTGGTGTGAGTACAGTTCAATGGGAGAAAGAAACAAAATCTTAAAAGATTTTCAAGCTTGAAGTTGATGCACGCGCGGGCTGGTGCAATGCCATAGCATCTTGAATCTCACTTGATTTAAACAATATCATTAAGTTTAATGCCATATGGACATCTTAATTTTCTATATTCTTTGCTACAGCTGTACCATCTGATAATTTGGTTGCATGCCATATTCCATGCCCAGCTTTTTGTCTCTCCCTAGTCTTTTATTTAATCACTGATTGATCTTTTATCATTTAGTCTAAAAAGTTTATTTTCTCTTATTGCATGTATGGTTTGTCTTGATTTAATTTGAGGGGAGGGAAGGGAATAAGAGGGAGAGAAATTTATCTATTTTGGATAACAAAAAAATTGGAAAGAAATTAGGGTGAGGGGTTTTCTCTTATTCTTTATTTAATTATAATTTTAGTTTAAAAAAAAGTTATTCAGCTGTGGTGACCTAGTGGTCATTCACTTGAGTGCGTGAGTTAGGATAACATGTCTTAAGTTTTAAATCTAAGGTTTATTTTCCCTACTCGATTCATTTCTTCAATGGTAAAAAAAAAAAAAAAGGAAAAGGGGAGGAACTTGCTTTTCGTTTTTTTCCAAAGTAAACAAAGTCTAGGAATTTTAAAAATCATATAAATACAGTTTATTCGTCACTTTCTGACGTAACTGAATGGTAATCATATAATCAAAAAACAGGGAAACGAAAGGGGCAGAGGATATACACAAACAATTTAGACTAGGGTAACATTGCTTTCATTGAAATTGGATGTTCCCAACCTTGATATCATACGACTTCCGGTAAAATTTTAAATTAAATGTATAAATTTATTATCTTTTAACATATTATTAAATAGGTAAATGTATAATATTATTGATAATTTTTTAAATAAAAAATAAACTTATAATCATAACATTTATTAAGCAAATTACATACAATATCATAATTAATTTTAAATAAAAATAATTAATTATATAATTATAATAGATAGATTTACAATACTATGCAATAAATAATATAAAATTTTTTATTATAAAAATACAGGTCAACCATCAATGTTCCTCTTTTTGGTTACGTCAACGAACTATGTGGGAAGCCATTCACTGCCCAATTCCACAGCATAAGATTTACTGCACATATTAATTTCCTTTCTTACTGGATCCCAAAGAGGATGGATTATGGACGCGAAGAGAGATAAATGGGACACAATAGGGAGGAGAGAGGAGGATAGAGGAGATCGTCTTTGTGGATTCGAAAGAGGAGAGGGTACTGTTAAAGTATATATATATTAATTAAAATAAAGACGTTCAGGCATTAGATATTTATTATAATTATTAAATAAATAAATTTTTTATCGAAACTCACAAAATTATGATTGTATATTTCTCAACCTCGTATATGCATGCATATACGTATAGTTGAGTTGAGTTGAGTTGAGTGAAATATAAATATTTTATATTGATAAAAAATAAAATATTAAAATATAATATATGAGAAGATTTATGAATCTAATAAATATATTTTTAAATTTAATATAATATCTTTTCATCACGTGTTTATATTCTCTAACCCTTGCGTGATTAAAATCTCTTTGTTAATACTCTTAAAAAATTTAAATACTTTAAAATAATGTTTTAAATGCATTTAATTATATCTAATTACGTAATATGTAAGTAACATAAAATTATCTTTTATCATATAATTTAAAATAAATAAATAAATAACTTTAAAAGACCAGACTTTTAGCAGTGTAGAATCATGCACTCGAGAATTATGCGGGCGAAAATTTGTTTTGTGTGAAAGGGGGGAGGAATAAGATTCCTTGACCTTCGCAATCCACGTGGGAAAAGAGCACGTGGTAGAAGTTTCCCTCGGTTAAAAAATGCCCACGTGATGCGACCTCTATTGACAAGTCAGCGAGCGTTATTGACGTGGTAGTCTGTCTTACTATATTAAATATGTTAGACACCTAGACAGGTCACCCTAGCACTTACCTTCGTTCAAATAATATATACCATATCGGTCATATTCTAACTTTGTCCACGTTCTCTGCATTGACAAATAACGATAGGGGTTAATCTAGTATTCCCTCGTGTCGCTGTAGTAGCGATCATGCTTCTTTAAAGTGGGAAGTTGATAGATCATATTTTAATTCATAAATCGATTCTTAAATTTATTATTTTTTTAATAAATATTAATATAATATTGTATTCTTTTCTATAAAAAAAACAATAGGGGTTAATCGTTAATGTAATGTGGAATATTTTTTAAAATATTTTTTAAAGAATTGGCTTAAAATTTTATTTTTGAATTAATATTTTTAAAAATTAATTATTAAATTAAAAAATATATTTATTTAAATTATACATATCAATTTATATATATATTTTTATCTTGATTGCATAATGAGAGGTAATCATCTTCCATTTCTTATTCTATCTCACTCGCATAACATGCGATGCGAACTCAGAATTTTTTATTTTCAA